TTTTTTTTTTGTTGAACCTTTTCTTTTCAAATGTCCCCCCCCACGCCCAAAATTACCACAACAACAAACGCAGAGCCTCGGATTTGGGGACAGCAAATTGTCATTGTCACCTCCACCGGGACAATGTCACAGCCTTGAGCCCAGAGATTTAATTCTTTAATTCGTATATTCCGATATTTTGTTCCTTCATTTGATTAACTGAATCAAGAGATTGACACCGATTTTTTTTTTTTTTTTGGGGTGGGGGGTGTTTCCAAAATTGGGTGAAATGATGGTGGCAGGATGAGCTGATGTTCCTGCAGGAGAACCCGCAAAATTCTCTCCCTGCTGATTTTGGTCGTGGAAAAAACCCAAATAATCCCAAAATTCCCCCCCCCAAAAAATAAAAAAATAAAAAAAGGAGAAATCATCCCCACCCTCAGCCACATCCCGAGCAGAGCATCCTCTGCTTGAATGAACCCAAACCACGGAAATGCGAAATAAAAAAAGGTCCAAAAATAAAAATTTTGGCCAAAAAATCGAAATGTGAGAGGTGCAGGAGTCAAATTCTGCTGGCAACGAGCTCAGCCTTGCACAGGGAAAAAGGAGATGGGGGGGGATGATTTTATATGGATCAAAACCTCAGCCACAGGCTGGGTTCATCCATTATAAACTGATATTTTATATAAAATTACCTCAATGTATTAATAAATAAATAACCTCAACCAGAGGCTGGGTTAATTAATAATAATCTGATATTTAATAAAAAATTACCTTTCTATATAAATATATAAATAACCTCCTGGGTTAATTCATCAATAACCTGATAGATAATAGATAAATAATCTCAATATATTAATGGATAAAAACCCTTAATAATAAATAAATCCCCTCAAAGAGAGGCTGGATTAATTAATCAATATCCTGATAGATAATAGAAAAATCACCTCAATATATTAATAGATAATCTCAATAGGAAATAAATAATCTGAATATATTGATAGAGAAATAACCTCAATAATAGAAAAATATAATCAAATAGAGGCTGGTTTAATTAATCAATAACCTGATAGCTAATAGATAAATCACCTCAATATATTAATAAATAAATAAATAATAGTAGATAAATAACTGTGACTAGGAGTTGGTTTAATTAATTAATAACCTGATAAATAATAGATAAATCACAATATATTGATAAATAAATAACCTCAATAATAGAGAAATATCCTCAAATAGAGGCTGGATTAATTCATTAATAACCTGATAAATAATAGATAAATCACCTCAGTATATTAATAGAGAAATAACCTCAATAATAGAGAAATAACCTTAATATAGTAATAGATAAATAAATAATCTCAATAATAGATAAATAACTGTGAATAGAGGCTGGTTTAATTAATTAATAACCTGATAAATAATAGAGAAATAACCTCGATATATTAATAGATAAATAACCTCAATAATAGAAAAATATCATCAAATAGAGGTTGGTTTAATTAATCAATAACCTGATAGATAATAGATAAATAACCTCGATATATTAATAGATGATCAAATAATCTCAATAATAGAGAAATAACTGTGACTAGGAGTTGGTTTAATTAATTAATAACCTGATAAATAATAGATAAATCACCTCAATATATTGATAAATAAATAACCTCAATAATAGAGAAATATCCTCAAATAGAGGCTGGATTAATTCATTAATAACCTGATAAATAATAGAGAAATAACCTCAGTATATTAATAGAGAAATAACCTCAATAATAGAGAAATAACCTCAATATATTAATAGAGAAATAAATAATCTCAATAATAGATAAATAATTGTGAATAGGAGTTGTTTACATTGATCAATAACCTGATAAATAATAGAGAAATAACCTCAATATATTAATAGATAAATAATCTCAATAGTAGATAAGTAACTGTGAATAGAGGTTGGTTTAATTCATTAATAACCTGATAAATAATAGAGAAATAACATCAATATATTAATAGATAAACAAATAATCTTAATAGTTATTTACTATTTAAGTTATAAATAACTTAACAGTTATTTATCTGTGAATAGGAGTTGGTTTAATTAATTAATAACCTGATAAATAATAGATAAATCACCTCGATATATTAACAGATAAACCCCCCCTAATAAAACATTAACTCCTCTACAAACAGGGTGAGTTTTCCATGGACAGCAGGGACTGGGGATGGTGGGAATGTCCCAAAATGCTGAGATTTGTGCTCACAAATTCATTGCTGGGGACCCCACAACCAAATACTCACAATGGGGGTTCCAAAGGGAATGTAACCTGTGGGGGGAAAAAAAATAGAAATTAATGGGTTTGGATTTAAAAGAATTTAAATTTTATTTTTTCTCCCAGTTGAGGGGAGAAGTCACAACCCTGGCACCTCCTGGGGCTCCAACCAACACCTGCAGCACCTTCCTGATTTTCTCATTTTTATTTGGGTTTTGAGTTCTCCAAAATCTTCCCCTCCTGCTTTTCCCATCTTTTATTTATTTCTAGAACTCTCCAAAGCCTTGCCCTCCTGTTTTTCTTATTTTATTTGCTTCTAGAATTCTCCAAAGTCTTCCCCTCCTGTTTTTCCCATCTTTTATTTGCTTTTAAAGATCTCCAAAATCTTCCCCCATCCTTTATTTATTTCTAGAACTCTCCAAAGTCTTCCTCTCCTGCTTTTCTCATTTTTATTTGCTTTTAAAGCTCTCCAAAATCTTCCTCCATCCTTTATTTATTTCTAGAACTCCCCAAAGTCTTCCTTTCCTGTTTTCCCATCCTTTATTTGGTTTTTGAGTTCTCCAAAGTCTTCCTCTCCTGCTTTTCTCATTTTTATTTGCTTCTAAAGCTCTCCAAAGTCTTCCCCCATTCTTGATTTAATTCTAGAACTCTCCAAAATCCTCCCCTCCTGCTTTTCCCATCCTTTATTTATTTCCAGAACTCTCCAAAGTCTTCCCCTCCTGCTTTTCCCATTTTTTTATTTGCTTCTCAAGCTCTCCAAAGTCTTCCTTTCCTGTTTTTTCAATCCTTTATTTGCTTTTAAAGCTCTCCAAAGTCTTTTCCCATCCTTTATTTATTTCCAGAACTCTCCAAAAATCCTCCCCTCCATTTTTCCTGAGCGCCACAGAAATCCAAACCTTCCCATTTTCCCCGTGCTGTGGCTGCCAATTCCCGTGCTCATTATAATTCCTCTCTCTGACCTCCCACTGGAAGGTCTCAGAGCATCCTCCCAACATCATCGAATTAAATTCCTGCATCCAATCCACAACCAAAAAGGGCAAAGAGATGAGAGGGAGGGAAATTTGGGAGACAAACACAGGACAAGGCAGAGGGTCCTGCATCATCCCCCACCCCCCCCAAAAAAAAAAAAAAAACCTGAGCTCAAATTTTCCCCTGTGCCCAAATCAGCTGAAGATGTCCCACCCAAAAACGTGGGAAATATCCTGATTATTTCAATAAATCCATTTATTAATTAAAAAAAAAATAAAATAAAATTAAAAATAAAATTTCAAAAGCACCAGGGCTGCACTGGCATTGCCAGAGGAGCTGGTGGGGACCTGGGGAGGCAATTTTTAATTTTTAATTTTTTAATTTTTTAATTTTTAATCATGAATAAGACACAGAGAAGATGATCTTTCCTGGAATCCCAGTGCTGGGGCTGCCAGACACCATAAAATGTGGAAAATCAGGAATCATCCCGTTCTTTCCTGGGAAATAAAACCCCCCCAGCCTCCTCCTCTTCATCACTGAGGGTGGATCGACCTTGATTTCACACCCCTGAAGTTGTGGGCAGCAAATTTTGCCATTTAGTGGGAAATTGAAATTTTCCCAATAGTGACAGAGGCATCAAAAATGGCAGAAAAGGCTCTGGGTGGAATCCAGGTAAAATGGGAAGTGTCTGTGTGCTCCATGGGGAAAGGAAAAATGGGGGGGAAAAAAGGGAAAAAAGGGAAAATGGGAAGGGAAAATGGGAAGGGAAAAAGGGGAGGGAAAAAGGAAAGGGAAAAAGGAAAGGGAAAAAGGAAAGGGAAAAAGGAAAGGGAAAAAGGAAAGGGAAAAAGGAAAGGGAAAAAGGAAAGGGAAAATGGGAAGGGAAGAAGGAAAGGGAAAAAAGGGGAGGGAAAAGGGGAAGAAAAAAGGAAAGGAAAAAAGGGAAGGAGGAAAAAGGGAAGGAGGAAAAAAGGAAGGAGAAAAAAGGGGAAGGAGGAAAAATAGGGAAGGAGGAAAAAAGGAAAGGAGGGAAATAAGGGAAGGAGGAAAAGAGGGAAGAAGAGAAAATAGGGAAGAAGGGAAAAAGGGAAGGAGGGAAAAAGGGAAGGCGGAAAAACAGGAAAGGAGGAAAAAAGGAAGGAGGAAAAATAGGGAAGGAGGAAAAAAGGGAAGAAGGGAAAAGGGGAAGGAGGAAAAATGGAAAGGAGGAAAAAAAGGAAGAAGGAAAAAAGGAAAGGAAGAAAAAAGGGAAGGAGGGAAAATAGGGAAAAAGGGAAAAAACGGAAGGAGGAAAAAAAAGGAAGAAGGAAAAAAAGGGAAGGAGGAAAAAAAGGGAAGGAGGAAAAAGGAAGATTTTTGAGCCCTAAATCTCACGGTGGAATTCAGGATCTCCATTTTCCTCGCCCGCAAAGGGATTTTGGTGTTGGGAATTCCTTCCTTTGCTCGGAATGGTGACAAAATTCAATTGGAAACGAGGAGAAAAGCCCCTCCCCTGCCCTCCCCTGCCCTCCCCTGCCCTCCCCTGCCCCCGCCCCAATATTTTCCACAAACCCCGGGGCAAGGTCGGGGTCCGGGCGTACCTGACATTCGGAAAGGCATGAAGATGGTCTCGTTGGTGTCGGGGTGGATGATGGCCTGGAAAATGTCACCAAAGGCACCCAGTGAGGGACAGGGACAGCAAAGCCACCAAAACCCCCCCCACCCTGAGCCCCTGGGGTTTCTCAGCTCCCACCAAAAAGGTTTGGGCTCAGCAGCCCCTCCCCACGTTAATTTCAATTATTTCGGAGGGAATGATTGACTCTCACATGTCGAGAGTGGTTTTTTTTTCTCAGTTCTGTGTCCCCAAAAGTCACCCCCAGCTGTACCTGAACCCCAGGAAAAGCAGATTTAGGAGGGGAAAATGAAATTCTTTTCTGTCCCAGCTCCATTGAGGTTGAAATGTCCTGGGTAGGAAAGTTGGGAAAAGCCCTGGTGGGAAGGGCAGGGCTGTGGATTGGGGGAATGAGGATAAAAATCCTTTTATCCTGCTGGGGAAGCAAAGGGGACACTGGGAAAATCCCCAAGGCCTCGGGACCAAAGGCAGGGATTTGGGTCAGGAGCTTCTCCCAAATGCAGCTGTGGATTCAGATCCAGGAAATTCTCACTGCAGGTGTGAATCCCATCCCAGAACTTCCCAGTGCAGGTGTGGATCCCATTCCAGGTGTGGATCCCATCCCAAAACTGCTCCCTCTGCAGCTGTGGATTCAGATCCAGGAATTTCTCCCCATTCCAGGTGTGGATCCCATTCCAGGAAATTCTCACTGCAAGAGTGGATCCCATTCCAAAACTTCTCCTCAATGCAGCTGTGGATTCAGATCCAGGAAATTCTCCCATTCCAGGTGTGGATCCCATTCCAGAAATTCTCTCCACTGCAGCTGTGGATTCAGATCCACAAATGTGGATTCAGATCCAGGATCCCATCCCAGAATTTCTCCCCACTGCAGGTGTTGATGTAGATCCAGGAATTTCTCCCCATTCCAGGTGTGGATCCCATTCCAGAACTCCCCACTGTAGGTGTGGATCCCATTCCAGGAAATTCTTCCAGTGCAGGAATGGATTCAGATCCAGGAAATTCTCCCCATTCCAGGTGTGGATTCAGTTCAGGAACTTCTCACTGCAGGTGTGGATGGATCCCATCCCAAAACTGCTCCTCAGTGCAGATGTGGATTCAGATCCAGGACCTTCTCCCATTCCAGGTGTGGATCCCATTCCAGGTGTGGATCCCATTCCAGGTGTGGATTCAAATCCAGGAATTCCTCCCCATTCCAGGTGTGGATCCCATTCCAGGTGTGGATTCAAATCCAGGAATTCCTCCCCATTCCAGGTGTGGATCCCATCCCAGAATTCCTGCCCAGTGCTGCAGCACGAGCAGGTCCAGCCCTCCCTGGATGGAACCACAAGGGACACCCAAAAAACCCCACACAGGGCCTGGATTTCCCATAAAACCCAACCTCTGGAGATCCCAACCTCCCTAAAAATCCTAAATCTGCTTGACAGGTGAGCAGCTCGTTTTTAGCTCATTTTTAGCCCATTTTTCCCCCCCAAGTTTTCTGACAAGCCCAGGAGGCTGCACTGGAATGAAATGGGAAGGAAAATTCAATTCCCAAGGGAGGAAAGTACAGCACAGGCACAAACCTTCCCAAGGAACTGTCAAACTATTTGCAAAAAAAAAAAAAAAACTGGAGACAAGAAAGCTCTTGACTAGACAGGAAGGAGAAAATGAAGACATCAAAATATATAAATACATATTTAAGAAAAAAAAAAAAAAGAAAAAAGAAAAAAATCAGGCTCTTTGATGGCAGAGTGTTCTCTGCATTTACATTTCCACGGGAAGGCAAAACAGCAACTGGCAAAGGGAATGAGGGAGGACAGGAAAAAAAAACAGCAATACTTGAAAATAAGAAGGAAAATTAAAAACATTTTTTAAAGTGTATTACCTGTTTGATTTTTTGAGCTCCCCACAGCTGGAAAAAAAAAAAACACAAAAGAGAACATGAAATGTAAATTAAAAAAAAAGAAACCCAGTGTAGTTTTATCCCAAATATTCATCTTTTAGCTGCTGTTCTAAACAAACACAAGGGATTGGGACAAAAAAAAAATCTCATTTTGTGCAGCCCAGCAGGATGGATTGAAAGATCCTTTCCACACCTGGAGTCCTGCACACCTGAGCCAATATTAAATTGTATTAAATGGGAAGGAAGAACCAGAAGAGCCAGACCTGAGAGTTTTACAAATCCCAAATTTTGTGCTGCACCCGAGGTAAATTTAGCACAGGATGAGCTCCCTGCAAAAATCCAGGGAATTAAAGGTGGGGTGAGGCCTGCAGGAGCTCTCCAAATAAACCCTGGGCTCCCAAAAAATGGAATAAACGGCTGAGAAATGCTCATGGAGAGAAAAAAAAATCTCATTTAAAACTCTCACTGTTGCCTCCTGGCACCTCCAAACCCCCAAACCCTGGGGATGGTGAGGAGGGAACATCCAGTGATGGGAGACAAGGATGAGACAGCAACCCCAGGGGTGTCCTGGCACGGCCCCAGAGCTCCCTGCGACCCCAAAGGCAGAGGGGTGTGACCCACCCAGACCAAACTGGGACCCCCAGACCCAAACTGGGACCCCCA